CCTCTAGTAAGTTATGATAAATGCAAGAACTGATCTAATCATGTTACAGAGGTACTTAGTAACCTAAAAGCAGATCTTCAAGAGGCTGAGAGAAGAGGATTGCTTGAGCCCAGGAGTTCAAGACCAACCTGGGCAGTACAGTGGGACCTGTCTCACAACAACCACATCTGGTTGCTGGAATTCCACTGAACCTCTAAGAAAATTTAGTTAATTTTACAGAAACAAGTTCCAAATATAGAATGTATTTTTCATTTCCCTAGATTCTCTGTGTATATACTTGAGTTCTTAAAAATTCAATCTTGTTTTAATCAACATACAATAAAATGCTACTGTTTTAAGTTACCAATGTGTATACCCATCAATACCCAGGACAGTCAGGAGACGAAACATCATTACCTCATTAGGGCTTCTCCAAAGTCAGGACTCCCAGAACTTCAGCACCAGCTAGTGTTGGTCTCTTTAATTTTTTTTTTGCCTGTTAGATATGATTTCTTATAAATTAAACCATACAGTCACTTCATGTTGTCACATATAACTAGTTCCTGTTTTCTGCCTGTGTTCCATCAGATTTGTTTATTCCTAATTGACACAGGTTGTTCTCTGTGTTTTGTTTTGTTTTGTTTTGTTTTTGGTACCGGGGTTTGAACTCGGGTCCTTATGCTCGTGAAGCAGGCACCAGAACCACTGAGCTAAATCCCTGGCCCTGTTTCTGTTTTTTTTATTGTTATGAATAAAGTTGCTATGAACATTGCTGTGTACATCTTTGTGTGCTCATATTTTCATTTTTCTTGGATCAATATGAATAGAATTGAGTGGTAAATGTATACTTCACCTGACACTGCTGAGCTATTTTTCCAAAGAAATTGTTTGGACTTTTTTTATTTTTTGCAACAGGGTCTCACTATGTAGTTGAGACTGACCTGGAACTCACTATGTAGCCCAGGCTGGTCTCGAACTCACAGCGATCCTCCTGCCTCATCCTCCCAAGTGCTGGGATTACAGGCATGTGCCACCACACCCAGCTTTCCAAAGAAATTCTATCAAGAAGCTGGACATGGTGACACACCTATAATCACAGCACTCAGGAGGCTTGAGGCAGGAGGATTGATGCAAGTTCGAATCCAGCCTAGACCACACAGTGAATTCAAGGCCAGCTTGAACTACATAGCAAGACCCTGTCTAAAACAAACGGCTGGGGATTTAGCTTGGTGATATGGAGGCTGCCTCACAAGCACAAGGTCCTGAGTTTGATCCCAGTACAAGAAAATTAAAACTGGATTTCAAGCCAAGCATTGTGGTACACACTTATAATCCCAGAGGTGGAGGCAGGAGGATTGGGAGTTTGGGCCCAGCCTTGTCAGTTTAGCAATTTAGTGAGAACTTGTCTCAAAAAAATTATTTAGAAAACGGGATGTGGCTCAGTGTCAAGACCTTAGGTTCAATCCCCAGTACTGTAAAACACAATTGCAGTGAGATACATATTTATGTTGTATAAGGACTAATAACTAACTTCAGTCTTGTAAGCTGTACCTGTACTTTTCGGTTGATAAGCAGTTGGATTACTTTAAAATTCAAAACACTAATCCTCTCTTCAGATTAATAGTAGATATCTGTGAGTATTTGATTGCTTCCCTCTTTTTGCCCCCTTTTCAGTTTTAGCTATTCCCTTCCTTTGGAAAAATTCCCCTATTTCTGCCATATAGATATAACATTTTTCTGATTTATTCTATGAAGAAGGATATTTGAGTGTCACTAGAAATAAAAGGAAGTTTCTTCAACTGACTAAGGATATCCAAGCTGGGCATGGTGGCACATGCCTGTAAACCCAGCACTTGGGAGACTGAGGCAGGAGGATTGTCATGAATTTGAGGCCAGCCTGGACTACATAGTGAGACCCTGTCTTAAAAAAAAAAAATCTGTCCTCTTTGACAGCAGTGGCCAAACATGCAGATTCTAGCTAGGCTGCCTGGTAAATCTTTTTTTTTTTGGTACCAGGGATTGAACTCAGGTCCTTGCGCTTGCAAGGCAGGCCACTGAACCGCTGAGCTAAATCCCCGGCTGTCTGGTAAATCTTAAATCATGTGCCTGAGTTACTTCATCTGTAAGGTGAAGATAACAATGCACTAGTTCTCTAGATCTGCTAAAGCAGGATATTCAGTTTGGTGGTATGGCTGGGGGAAATCTCACTACCTGTATGTCAAGTGTTCTGATCACAGGGCAGATAGCACTGTCCCATACACAGATTTTTTAATTTGTCCCTCATTTACTGCCCTTCATGCCATTGCTGCCTCTGTGCCCGGCAAGCCAAATCTGGCTGCTCCAGGGCTCTGCATAGGATGGTGAGCCTCTCGCAAGGTCACTAGATATTTGGGCTGTGGTGTAGGATGCCAGCTAGATATCCTGCAATTTAATTCAATGCTGGCACTACCCAAAGTGTGGCAACCCTGACAGATTTTGATTTTGTGTGGGGTACCAGGTATCAAAATCAGGTCCTTGCGCTTGCAAGGCAGGTGGCAGAACCACTGAGTTTTCCCAGCCCACACCCCGGACAGATTAAGGGCACAGCCTTTTCATGCCAAAGGACCATCCCAAGTGACAGTCCTTTCGGTGTAGCAAACAATCGGGGAAAGGAAGACACCCAGGAGGCAGGAGTGCCTCATGTCAGCAGACCTGACTGGGATCACTCCCAAGGAAGTGGGGCACAGAATATCTGTGGGCCAGCAGTTTTATAGGACTGTAGCAGGAGTTGCAGAGGCAGAAGCAGAGTATTTGGCAGTGTTTGGTTGGTTAGTTGACTTTTTTACATCTTAATTTCATTGGAGTTTTCCTGGGAATATGGCCAGCAGAGTACACAAATCAAAGGAGTGGAGGGAGGGCAGAGCAAACAGTTCTAGCAGGACTTTCTGAGTTTGATATGCTCCTGTGGTGTCAAATCACAGAAGTTGTCATTCTACAAAAGAGCATAGTTACCTAGTTAACCCATCTTGTTTATTAACACAGTTAACTCATAGTTGTCCGATTTAGTTTTGTTAGAAATATATCCATCTGCTTAGAAATTCACTTTAACTTTCAGCTGCTACATTTCTCTTAAAACGTGAAATGGTTTTCTGAGGTGCTTCTCCGACCCCTAGGGTTTCTCTAGGGTAAATCTTGGCTTCCCAATCTATTCTTAAATTCTTAGATTCAAATCATTTTCACATGCAGCTCCTAATTTTCTCCTTTCCCTGGTGCTGCAATCAAACCCAGGACCTTGCATACTAGGCAAGTGCTCTATCACTAAGCTACTCTCCTACCTCCTAATGTGACTTTTAAATAATTATTTTAACCAATATCCTCCCCTCCCCGATACCAGGGATCAAACTCTGGACCTTGTGTTTTCAAGGCAGGGGTGGTGCCACTGGGCTAAATTCCCAGCCCTGTTAACCAATCTGCTTTTAAATTGTCCAATTCTTAAACATGAATCGAAAATCAAGGATCACTACACATTTGAGGAAATGTAATGTGAAAAACAAAAATCAAAATAAGTGGTAATAATCATGGAAGAAATAGATAATTCAGCAAACAAAGGAGCTTAAATATTAGTATCATATGAGACATTCAAGAAGTTTGCATTGGGTTAAAAAATTAGAAGTGAGGGCCGGGGATTTAGCTCGGTTCTGCTGCCTGCCTCGCAAGCACAAGGACCCAAGTTCGATCCCTGGTACCCCCCCAAAAAAATTAGAAGTGAAAATAAACAGAACACAAGAACTGTGGGAAATTGCTGAAAAAAAGATTGAAAAGTTGGAAAGTAAAAGGAAATCCAGAAAGTGGAGCAAAAACACTAAGAAGATATGTAAGAAAAAAAGAACACAAGTGAATGACTAAATTTCCACCTAACAAATGAAAATACCAAAACAAAGCAAACAAACAAACAAAACAAGTAAATTGTCAAAGAAATAAGAGAAGATAACTTCCCAAGGCTGATGGAAGATTTAAGTGCTCAGACTGAAAAGGCCCAGTGAGTACTATACAATGGATGTAAAAAAACTATACCCAGCCAGGTCTAGTAGCACACCTATAATCCCAGCATTTGAGGGGCTGAGGCAGGAGGATCTCTACCAATTTGAGCCCTCCCCCTGCTACATCATGAGTTCAAGGCCAGCCTAAAATACATAGTGAGACCCTGTCTGAAACAAAACAAAACAAAAAACCCTATACCTAGACTAAGAGTAGAAACATCATCGAAGATGGCACCAGCAGCATAATAACCAATGTTCACCAACTTCAGAGTAAAAGAGTCCACTAAAAAATGTATCCACACTTCAAAAAAATTATATAACTATTTTAATACTAAATTTATTGCAACATCATGAGTTTTTTTGTTGCTTGGGGTTTTTTTTTTTGTTTTTTTTTTGGGGGGGTGAGACAGGGTCTCACTATGTAGTTGAGACTGAACTGGAACTCACTCTGTAGCCCAGGCTGGTCTTGAACTCACAGCAATCCTCCTGCCTCAGCCTCCCAAGTGCTAGAATTACAGGCGTGCCCCACCAAACCCGGCTACATCATGAGTTTAATACAAGTTACCTTTGGCCTCTACAAGTACCAGAGGTGCTCAAAGTGGCCATTAGCATCCAGACCTTTAATAGAATGGCAGACTACTCCTTGGGTGATCAGTAATTGAGATTATTGCACAGGTATTTTCAATTTCTTCTCTAAGGGATGGTAGTGTAGTGGATTTTCTGTGATATATGACAATCTGTAGGGTCCCCCATATGAGGATAACACCATCTGTTAAAAAAAATCATACTATCTTTTATTTCCTAAAGTGTGTATACATTTTTTTTGGCAGACTCCATAGTTCATCTTGTGAGACTTAACTCCTTGTGAATCCCTGCTGATCCTGTTTACTCAACATCTTAGCACATTTACCTGTAACTTCTCTAATGTACAGTTTGTTTTTCAGTTTTAGTTCCTCAGGTAAAACTGCTTCCCATTATAGGACAAACAGCATCTGTATCTGAGATGCACTCTCTCATTCTCCTCACTGGGCAGCTGCTCTCTCCACGGACCAAAACCTTGGGGACATTCCATGGTAAGTGGATCACTCCTCCTGTACACTTCCACTTACGGCCTGGCTCCTGCTCTTGTTTCTCTCTTAGGAGGCAGCCTGGCAGAGAGGAAGGAAGGTTAAGTCAAAGAACATATGATCTGAAAAGGGCCTCGGAAATTATCTCTTCTCCCTGAAAATGGCCTCAGGACCAGAAAAACTGGTTAAAGTCAGTACAACACTGATCTCAGCAGGAGTTCTTCCAGCCTGTGCTTATTTATCTCTGGGGAGGCCTCAGCTTTATGGGTATTCATCAGCCAAAGTAACATGAATATCCTAGCTATTGATGAGTGAGGCCCTGTGCTAGGTGTGAGACAGAGCAGGGCAGCCTTGGATGAGCTTTTGGTTAGGGTTATACCACACTGTGGTTTGTTACTGAAGAAGAGGCTTGTTTTGTAGGACTAAGAAAGCCTCCCAGGAACTGAAGTAAGCCTGGTGTTTCCTCTGGTGTGTGTGTGTGTGTGTGTGTGTGTGTGTGTGTGTGTGCGCGTGCGTGCGTGCGTGCGTGTGTTCATCTTTATTAAAGCCTTCTACAAGTACACTATGGGAAGTTTGCAAGATTTTTTCAATTGTCCAAGCTTGTATCATTGTTGAAAATGGTACTGCGAATGGGATCATTGACAATTTTTTTACTTTATAGTTTTTTTGTTTGTTTTGTTTTGTTTTGTCTTTTTTGAGACAGGGTCTCACTATGTAGTTGAGACTGACCTGGAACTTACTATGTAGCCCAGGCTGGTCTCAAATTCACAGCGATCCTCCTGCCTCAGCCTCCTGAGTGCTAGAATTACAGGCATGCACCGCCTCACCTGGCTACTTTATAGTTTGAGTGATATCTAGGGCTTTATTTGGGAGGAAGAAATATTTCGAACTGTTGGTGCCAGGCTGGTTGCTGGTTTGAGTTCACTTAAGGACTGCAACTCTCCTTGAAAGGAAGCGCTTCTCAGTGTAACTTGAACCTGGTAGATCAAAGCCAGAGAAAATAGCTAAATTGATTAAAAAAGAAATTTAGAGGAAGTTAGCCAAGAATATTGTACCTTGGCTGGATGAAAAATGAAAGTGAGGAAGAAAGAGTGCTGGGCTGAGTCATGGCCAGTTCCTTCTGATGGTGTGGGAGAGCTGTTCTGATGGGAACATGCCCCTCATCTGATAGATGATCACCCAAGATGCACTGTATGGAGAGAGCATCACAAGACAACAGACCATCACGCCGGTCGTGGTGCACACACCTGTAATCCCAGCACTCAGGAGGCTGAGGCAGGAGAATCGCTGTGAGTTTGAGACCAGCCTGGGCTGCATAGTGAGTTCCAGTTCCAGGTCAGTCTCAACTACATAGTGAGACCTTGTCTCAAAAAACAAAACAAAAACAAACAAAAATTTCACAATCAAGATAACGTGTGGATTGATGTAGGGCACTTCCTGAGGAGCCACTGCTGTAATGAATTTTATCCATCAGAGACAAAGGAGCTCTTTCCTTTTGATTAGGTTCTGTCACATATAGCTTTGAAAGAAAGGGCATGCTTGATCTTTATAAAGGACTTCAGTTCACTGCAGCTTCTGCAGAAATGCAAGTAGATGGGCAAATTCCAAATTAGATGAGCTGGATAGCATTCTGGGTACAGGAAATCTATCTCATAAAGGGAAACTGTCAACTTTACCTATAAGTGAGGTTGCTGAAATGTTAGGAATGCAAGCAAGGACTTTTGGCCTGGTTAGGTCATGATATGATGGGTGCCTAATTTCATGCCTTTGACCTAAGAGACGCTATGACAGGAGTCCTCCAGCTGCTTGGACTCTTCATGTTACTACATGTTGGAGGAGAGTTGAGGTGCTGTTGCAGCTGGATCACCCCTTTACTTCAAAGTGTATGAGACGATCAGTATTGTTCATAAGAAAGAAAACAGTATGAATAAAAGAGATTTTAAAATCTCAGAACTAATGAGTCAGGTGGAAATGTTCAGATGGATGATTAGAATGGTGTTGAAGAGCTGGGATGTAGCTCAGTGGTAGAGTATTTTCCTAACATGTACAAAGCCCTGGCTTCAGTCTCCATCACAGCAAAATACGGGGCTTTTTGGTCTTTTTTTTTTTTTCTTTTTTGGTACCAGGAACCAAACTCAGGGCCTCACACTTGCCAGGCAGGTGCTACATCACTGAGCTACATCCCTGTCCCCATCACAGCAAAGTAAAACAAGGAAATAACACGAGAAAAGGAAATAAAGGGAGTTATAGCAAAATAGTAACATATCACTATAAGATGCTTTCTACAGTGCAAAGATAAGTGCCAAGCTGCAACCTGAGCTGAGTATGGTGGCGCACACCTGTAACCCCAGCACTCAGGAGGCACAGGCAGGAGGAACTGTGTACACTTAAGGACAGCCTGGGCTACATAACAAGATCCTGTCTCAAAAAACAAAATAAAACAAACAAAAAACAAAAGGAATGTGATGTGAAAAAGAGGTTGGCAAGTTCTGGTGCTGCCCCCACCTGGTACCTAAGACATTTTCATTGGCAAGGATAAAATAGCCTGGGTGTGGGGAAAGCCTTCATTGGCATTGTTGGACAGGGATGTGTAATTTGCTGCTCAGTGTAGACCTGCTAATGCGAAGTCACAGAGCAGATAATTGAATGAGTGTGATATGACAGTGCAGCTCTGGCTGTAGGAGCGAGAAATGTCTCCACAAAACACTCGCACTCAAAGGCACACGGCGGCATTGTTCACAGGAACCCAAAGTGTAAACAAACCAAGTGTTGATGAGTGGGTAGATAGTGTGACATAACCACGTAGTGCAGCAGTATTTGACAACAAAAAGGAATGTGAAGTACAATACATGTTACAACGTGGCTGAACCTTGAAAACATGTGAAGTGGATGTGCCTATACATCTAAGGCCACATATGGTATTGTTCATATGAAATGTCCAGAATAGGCATATCTCTTTTGTTGTTGTTGACTCTTTTTTTTTTTTGTTTTTTTGGTACTGGGGTTCAAACTCAGGACCTTGCATTTGCGAAGTAGGTGGCAGCACCACTGAGCTAAATCCCTGGCCCTGCTGATTTTCTTTCCCATTAAGTTTATTGGTACATGAGCCAGGGATTTAGCTCAGTGGTTCTGCCGCCTGCCTTGCAAGCACAAGGACCCGAGTTCAATCCCTGGTACCAAAAAACAAAACAAAACAAAAGTTTTTTGGTACATTGAAAGCAAACAATAGTTACATTTATCATTGGGATCTTGTACCTTTACAGGATATAACTTGGTTCTTGTTTTTTTCCCCATACCCCAGCTCTCTCATCACCCCCTTCACCCTTCCCTATTTACAAAGAGTTTGTTTCCATTTTGTTTTCCCTTATTTCCTTTCCCCTCCCCTTCCCACTTCCGCTTTGGCCATTTTCTTCCTATGTCACACTCTCAATTATACCATTTGAACCTTATCTACACTTTTATTTTCTCACACCAGAGTATTTGGTATTTATTCAAATGTGTCCTATTTATTTCACTTCAGAGCACAGACTCAGTGTGTATCCATTTAGCTATGAATGTTTCTAGTTTCTCATTCTTTTTTGTTTGTTTGTTTTTTGTTTTTTGAGACAGGGTCTCACTATGTAGTTGAGACTGACTTGGAACTCACTATGTATTCCAGGCTGGTCTGGAACTCACAGTGATCCTCCTGCCTCAGCCTCCTGAGTGCTGGGATTACAGGTGTGCACCACCACTCCCGGCTTTAGTTTCTCCTTCTTTATGACTGAGACTACTCCATTTTATAGAAAAACCACATCTTTAACCAGTCTCCAGCTGATGGGCATTTGGGTTGTTTCCAAATTTTAGCTATTATGAACTGTGCCGCTATAAATATGGGTGCACATATATCACTCTGGGATGATTCTTTTAATTCGTTTGGAAAGATGCTCAGCAGACGGATAGCTGGGTCAAATGGAACTTCTAATTCTAGTTGTTTGAAATATCTCCATATTGATTTCCATAGTGGTTGCACCAGTCTGCACTCCCACCAATAATGAAGAAGGGTTCCTTTCTCCCCATAGCCCCGCCAGCGTTTTTTATTGTGTGATTTCTTGATAGCAGCCATTCTTTCTGGGGTGAGGTGAAATCTCAGTGTTGTTTTCATCTGTATCTCTCAAATGACCAGTGATGTTGAACATTTTTTCATATATTGCTGCTTTTACTTTGTCTGAGAAATTTCTGTTCATTTCAGATGCCCATTTTTGAATCGGGTCTTTGTATTTGGGGGGATCTGATTTTTTTGAGTTCTTTAAATATTCTAGATAGTAGTCCTGTTTGAGGAGGAGCTGATAAAATTTTTTTCCACATTGTAGATTGTCTCTTAGCTCTGTTGGTGATTTCTCTTGCACTGCAAAATCTTTTTAATACAGTGAGATCCCAGTTGTTGATTCTTTGTACAAGTTCTCATGCTCATAAAGTCTTTTCCTATGCTGTTGTCTTTGAGGGTTCTACCTAATTTGTTTTTATTTTGGTACCTGGAATCAAACTCTGGTCCTTGCGCTTAGGAGGCAGGAGGTGGCACCACTGAGCTAAATCCCTGGCCCAAGAGTTCTGCCTAATTTACTTTCCAGTAAGTTGGTGTTTCTGTTTTGATATTTATATCTTTAATCTACTTGGATTTTAGTTTAGTGCATGGTGAAAGATAGGGATCTACTTTTAATCTTGGGCAAGGTGAAAGCCAGTTTTTCCAACACCATCTATTAAAGAGGCTGTCTTTCCTCCAGTGAGGATGCTTGGCTCCTTTGTCAAGGATGAGGTAGCTGAGCACATCTGGTGTTGTTTATGCATCTTCTAATATATTCCATTGCTCTTCAGGTCTGTTTTTATCTCAGTGGCTTTGTAGCATAGTTTCAAGTTGGTAATTGTGATACCCTCTGCCATGTCTTTCTTCCTTAGAATGGTTTTTGCTATTCTAGGTCTCTTTTGGTTCCAAATGAATTTTGAACTGTTTTCTCTAGTTCTGTGAAATA